CACAAAATAAATGTAAGAGTAGTTGTTCGTCCTACCTTTGTGGACTCTGACAATGAAGGAGCGAGTAGCTGAGGAGACAAGCCGACAGTAGCCATCAATCAAGTCAGCCATGTTTTCTGCCGTAGTCAGTGCTGCCGTGGTGACAGTGAGGGGCTACACCAACCCACACACACACAACACACACACACACACACACACACACACACGCACACACACACACACACACACACACAACACACACACACACACACACAGATGAGTGTAATAGTGGGACAGAGCGCTGCTTCACAGTGAAACAATGAGAGCTTTATTAGGGATAACGTCTCCTACCACTGCTCATACCCACACACACACACAGACAGTACTCCAGCACTGATGCACACATGCTTTTCCTCTAGTTAGGCCTACTGTGAACACACACCCACTTTTGACAAACACACTCATGCTGACACTCAAGTGCAGATGGCAACACATGCCATTACCCTCCCATGTGCTGTTTCCCTCTTTCACCTACATCACTTCCTGTTTTTTCCTGCAGAATGTGTGTTACTACAACTTAATATGCAATGTCTAACAAGCAGAAGTTATTTCATGCTTGTTTCACATATAGAACATTTACAATTCTGCATAACAATCAGATGAAAGAATTAAAAAAAATAAAAATAAATATATATATATATATATACACACACACACACAAGGACGAAATTATTAGCCCCCCTATGACTATGAAAATTTCGCATTTTTGAAAAGTATTTCCCAAGCAGATTAGGCAGCAGCAAAGAGGATTTTTGAACACGGCGTTTTCCAAGGACAGTCCCTAGTTTTATTTTGATCGCGTACAGTTATTTTACTGGACCCACGCACCATACCGACGAGGTGCAAGACTTGTGCAGCGCGCAGGGAGAAGGGGCGGTGTGGGTCCGCACCAGGAGCACATGACCCTGCCAGCGCGCGAAGAAAGTGGGTCAGGAAGAAGGTTGTTATGTGATCCGCTGGCCCCTGGTCGGGCTAAGCAGTGCTAATGTGTGTAATGCGCTTTTGGTGTGCGTGGAGTAAGCAGTCGTATGGCAGTGCGTTGTTGGTTGGGTTTGAGGTGTTGTGCAAGCAGGTGCTGCGTTGACACATCGCCTTGAGTAATCTTCCGAGCCCAGTGTTCTTGCAGTTGATCTCTCAGATCTCCGCGTCGAGGAGTTTGATGGCGCTTTTTGTCATTGACGTTGGTGTTGCTCAGTTCGAGCCGCTCATAGCAGTATTTGTGTCTGTATGGGTGGTTGGTGGAGTGTTTTCCAGGTCGATCTCCATTCGCTAGTTTTCTTAATGAGCGGGGTGAGCTTTTTGTTGGATGATTGCTTGTGTCACGATGTGATGATTGTGTTGTATGTGGTTGTGTGTTGTGTGTTTGTGTTTTTGGTTGTGGTCAGTGTTTGGATGAAATGCTAGTGGGGGTGTGTGGTGTGGGGGGGTGAGCGGTGTGTTGGTGGGGTGTTGGACACCCCGAGAGCGAGTTTGTTGCGTGCGTGAGGGGCGTGTGATGTGTGGTGTTGGTGTGTCGTGAAATATCTGCGACTGTTGTATCTTTGGCTTGTCAGATGATTCCTGCGCACGCGTAGACGGAGATTCCCAGTTTCCAGTGCGTCTCTGATAGCATCCCACGCGACGCATAATACTTCCTCCACCACTCGTTGTTTTCACTGGGGTGGGACAGTGCTTCCTGTTGGTTTACGTTGGGCGCCTGGCTCCTTCTGCTGTTCGTCCAGACGGGGAGGTAAGCGAAGAGTATCGTCTAGTGGCCCAAGCAGAGCTCTGAATTTGCTCATCTCATGTGATCGCCAGAAGGACATGCTTCCCATGTAGTGCGTAATGAGCCTTGTCTCCCAGGGTTTGTCCTTTAGGATACTTCAGTCTGGCGTTGAGGGGTGTCTCTCTCTGCAGATAGTGGAGTTTTGTTCGGTGGGTCTGCAAAACCTCGCATGCTCGCATTTCTTGTGCAGGAGCTTTATGTCGATTGCTCTGTCCTTTGGGGACTCACCATTTCCCGATCTTGTGCTTACGGTTCATTCACTGTGTCCTCCCTGCGCCAGTTCGTTCTGGGGTCTTTTAGACCACATCTCCTCCCCCGTAGCTTTCTTCTTTCTCCAGAGTCTTTGCAAATTCTTTCGCTTCCCTTCTCTGCCAGGGTTGCTTCTCTTACTGTGTGGCTGCTCCCTTTGAAGTGTTCCTTAATGATCCTGCGCCTCTGCCACTCCAGTTTTCTGGGACATTGAAACCGGTTGGTGATAATCTTTGGTATATCCTGCCGTGCCTCGTTTGTGAGCAGTCAAACGAGAGGCGTTTTTCTCAGAGTCGTAAAACGTGGAGGCGGGGAGCGGGGTTGCCAAGGTAGCAGGGCGAGAGAGCCGCGGACGAGGGTGAGGTACTGTGTGTAGGGAATTTGTGGGAGGGATGTACCTCATAAATTATTTACAAGCGTTTTGAGCGATTACAAGAGTTATAGCTGCAGTTCATGCATTCAACAGTTGTTGTGTGCAAGAGGCTGATGATTTAAAATTGTCAGTTCTTATATGGTGGGTCTTAATAATTTTGACGCTTGGTAGTTTTATATATAGCTCGCCTGATTATATTTGTAAAGAATTGTTTTTGATGAGATATATGGGCAGTGGGGTGGGCAGCTGTAAAATGCCTCAAGCTCAATGTGAATTCATATATTTAAAAGTTCTGTGTATGTGTTATTGTTTTTTTGTATGTGGGAATAGGTTTCGATGTTATTAGTAGTTGTTTGTAATCTAGAGGCGTATCAAAATTTACCAGCGCCCATAGGGCTGGATTTGGATGGATCATTATTATGCAGAATGTGTGTTGTGTTGGGTGTTTCCTTTCACCTCTGGAGCTGCGCTTGTTGCGCCTAGTTTCATTGAGCTGCAGCAGTGCCGTTTTTC